CAGAGTAACAAGCATAAAAAATGAAAGATGGTTTCAAGCGCAGACAAAATAAATTATGCACTTGTAAGGGTTTAAATTTAGTACAGTAAATCGGCCAATCGGCGAAACAGGATAAGAGAACCAAGACATGTGATAATTAGAGAAAAGAACGACAGTCGGAAGTTAAAAATGGACATTCATGAAAGGCAATCACAACAGAACAGAAAGAAAGATAGCGATGAGCGAGTAACAGCGAGGTCAAGTAAGTGTCACTCATTGGATGCAATGAATGCTTTTATGCTAAGCAACCGTATCTGATAGAGTTGCAGGCACAAGCTCGCTAAGGGAGCACACCCCTCTCGGTGGACTAGCCCCATAAATGTCTAGAAAATAGTAGAGCACAAAAGTTACGAAGTAAGGACGAACACGATGCACTACTTATTACAGAGAAACTGCATGTATGTCAGGACACTCGGCAAAAAGGGGGGAAGCGATGAGTCCTAGAAAGGTATGCGCTTGCGAGCGTATTATAATAATTTAATGTAGGAGTGCGTTCATACTTTGCGACAGCGTTTTGAGCGACTCAATACAGATATGGACTATCGCTGAAAACGTTGAGGGCGCTCAAAACGCTAGGTCCAGAATCGACCCATGCCTTCTTAGCGGCTGAATACGTTGACGGATGCTCGATACGTGACGCTCAGAACGCTGACAGACGTTTAAAACGGTGCCGCTAAGCATGAACGCACTCGAAGCAAACGTTAAGCGAGGAGCTTAGGCGTAAAAATTAGTCAATAATTACCTTGTGGGAAAGACAGCCAAGAGTACAAGAAACTTGCGGAGAAAGTTGAAAATAGCGTACTTGACCTTATTTGGACATTGACCTAATGTTTCAAGCGCTATTTGAAAAAGGGACCGTGATTACCTGTATGTGATACTTTCCTACAGGTTGTCGATTGAACATGGTGTAGAAGGTGGCCACTTCATAAGCGCGCATTCGTGGTACTTCTGCAAATTATGGTCAAATTCCTAAGAAGGAGTGAATAAAGTGCAACTAACCCAAGATTCGCGCTACTTCGTGCATTGCTGAAATTGGAAGCCATCCGTGCTGACGTTGCGCAAGATCCAAAGCCGGAAGCAGGGCGGCAACTTTATATCCCTCAGGATAATTGGAAATGAGGATGTCTAACTTTTTCTTGTTTTCTTCGTTGAATTCAAATTTCACATTCGGATTGTTCTGTTCTGAGTCACGATGCACCATCAAGCCAGTACCTTCGAATGACTAGATTCAGCTTCAGCAATAAAATTCATTAGAAATTTAACTAGCACTGTCTCGTTACGTTGAAATGGAAAAGGAGACGACAAAACTCCTAACTACATGTTTCACCGCATGCAAAAATATAGTACACATTCACGTTCCTTCGACATTAATAACCCAAAAAAGTTTGATTGCAATAAAACTGCAAAAGAAAACTGTTAAACACACCTGCCATGCGTCTTGGGAGAATACTTCCGACCCGGCTGACCAACGACACGGATGCCTTCATCTTCAAGCCAACTGCTAAGACGGTAGCAAAATTAGAACTTAAGTAAAAACAAGAAGCAGGGATGAAGCTGACGGCTTCAACAATGACTTGAATTTTGCGTAGAAAAAAAGTTGTGTGTAATTGCACACTGACGATGCTACAGTATTGTAGGCTGCGGTGGGGCATGCAGGGGTAATGTTTGGCGCGGGGCTGAACCCGCTTCGCAGTGTTATTTTGATGGCACATACCAGCTAATGCATAGCTTATTGTATACTCTTTAAAAGTGTTTCAATGACACACTTCAATGAGTGACCAATGTTTGCAGCAACGGCCTAAGACCCCCACGGACGATTTATCTCGCGAAAAATAATAAGTAACTACCATCAGGAACGAAGTCTGCTTGCTAAGAACCATTCGAATCCTATATCCTTTGAGATGACCACACGGTAGCCTTTCTTATTAGTCACCCAGCAGGATATGTTTCTGAATATCACACGACTGACTTCCGATTAATCTCGGCATTAGAAACGTAATGGTTCACTGCTTCCTTAGCCTCCCGAGATTGGTACAGATAGTTCAGATAATTTATTGTGCTAAAGTTTCGGCAAAAATTGCCTTCTTCGAAGCCTTCGACGGATAGAAGTTCTACTGGGCATTTCGACAATTTTTATCCGCGCTAGGTCAGTAGACCGCTCCGATCGAACACTTTTCGTCTGCGTACAAAACAGCTCATGATTGGCATATTTTGTCGTAATGGTGCACTATATTGCCAGAGATAGAGATGATTCAGTGCTCTCGATAATATTAAAGACAAACATCGCAATTGTATTAGGTTGTCCGGAAAGTTCTCAGCGTTTTGGGTG